CCCCCAATATTTTTCTGTTCCTTTTTGAAAGGTCTTTCAGGGGGAGGGTGTCCTTTTTTATTCGGAAAAATATAAAAACAATTTATTTGGGGCGAAAAGTCGCCTTATATCTTCAGCCTGGGCGCGTCCTTTCTTGCTTTGAGCCCCTCAGAAGAGGGTTCGCTGGTTGTCTTCTTCTTGAATTGAGGGGGCGGCGGTACCATTTTTTTTTTAGTAAAAAAGGGCCTGTGAGTTTCCCCCCCCCCCCCGCGCTCCACACACGTGCACAGATGTGCCCTGAGCGCCTTCTGGATTAGTGTTCTGGGGAGCAGGCTGAATGGACCTTACACTCTGGCGCCAGCCAGGTTCCCAGATCCCCCTCCTGGTGGGTGGGCAGGCCTGGACACCTCTCTGACTCTGCCAGTCCTTGGCTATCCCCTCCCCTGTCATTACAGATCCCTGCTGCCCAGGTGTCACTTGTCATGTTTGGAGGGAGGGTGTCGGGGGCAGCTGCTGACCCCGTGGCTGGGTTCTTCATCAGCAGAAGCAGGAGGACAGGGTCTGGACGACTCATGCCCTGGTGAGCAGCCCCATGGTCCTTGAGGTCCCTGTGGTTGTCATAGCCCTGCTTCTTAGTAGAAAACCCTGTGGATGGTTAGAGGACAAGACGGGACAGCCGGTGATAGGACTGGACAGTGGGTGACAGTACCGGGCTGGGCCAGACCATCCTGCAGGAGTCAGAGACATTCCTGGGGACGTTCCCTCACCAGATGGCGCAGGTAGACAAAGCCTCCAAGACTCCCAGGCCTGGCCCCGGGGTCTCAGCGAGGCCAGAGAAGGTCTTGCAGAGTAGGTCCGACTCCTGTGCTCCAGGGTCCTTGACGGGGGAATGGCACCACCAAGCACCCGTGTCCTAGCCAGAGTCACAGCCCCCGTCCTGGTACCTCAGGTCCCCTCCCCTCTCCCCCTCCACGGCTCCCACCCTGAGAGGCCCGCCCAGGGCTGAGGTCCAGAGGGGTGAGGTGGCCCCAGTCCGGGTTTGGTGAGCATCCCACCCCCGTGTGCTCCACAGGGTGCTGGGCTG